TAATAATAATAATAATAATAATAATAATAATATGAAGTGGGGGTTACATATTTGAATGTTTCCCTCTCTTCCTCAAAAACATTTCCCTGCAGTTCCTCATAAGTCAGTTCATGCCACCATGAGCAGCAAAAACATTGAACTGCCTTCTTTTTCTCATGGACAGAAAGCAAAAATAAATCCACCTCCATTTCCTATGCCCCACTCAGAACCTAAGGAAGCATAACTCCATTTCCCAATGTAACCAGAAGATCACTTCTAGTTTGTTAAAAGTGTCTTCAGGACCAAAACAAGGTGGACATGTGTTGTTTTATTTTAGATTTATTCATAACATTCTCTATATTTTTTTTAATTGGGAGCAGCTTAGGGACCTGTGAAGTTTCCACAGGAAACAGGAACACCTGTAGCAGGCTAGTATGGGGGGGGGGGGGAGGAAACAAGATAACTGAGAACATTTTATTGTCATCTTCTTTACTAGGAATGTACCGTAATTTGTCACTAACTCAATTCTCAATGGAAGCAATAAGTCATTTCAGCAATTTTTTTTCCTGTTGCAATAAAATATTCAAACAATGTATTGTGTTTGAAGACTACTCAAGTTCTGGACTTATTATATGTGTTATACAGAAAATGTATTTAATTTTATTTATTTGAATACAATTTATATCCCACCTTTCTCCCACAATGGGATTCAAGACAGGTTACAATAACTTAAAAAGACAAAGCTAAAACAACATTTTTGCAAATAGTGTAAACTTTTGATCAGGGGGGCTTTACACTGAGTTATGTTGGGGAGGGAGGCAGTATTTTGGAAGGTATTTTGGAGGGCAGGAGTACATCATGGGCTGGAGATAATAATCAAAGTGTTATAGAGGGAACAATACAAATGATGCAAGGGCCCAAAAGTGAGAAGAAAAAAACTTCACACAGGCAGCAAGTAGGGATGACCTATGCTGTTAGATGTTGCTACACTAATACACAGAGAATAGGAAATAAAAAAATAAACTTGAACTCCTAGCACAACAAAGCAAATACGATATAATAGGCATCACTGAAACCTGGTGAGATGAGTCTCATGATTGCAATGTAGGAATAGAGGGGTATAACCTTTTATAGAGAAATAGGCCAAACATGAAAGCATGAGGATTAGCATTATATGTCAGGGATATTTACACCTGTGAAGAGATCCAGGACTTCAATCCTGGAAATCTGGTGGAGACCATCTGGATAAAAATTAAAGGGGAAGGAAACAACAGGGATGTTATGTGGGAGTATACTACAGACCCCCAAGTCAGACTGAGGAATTAGATGATGCCTTTC